GGACATTCAAGGTTGGAGATATAATAGCAATAGAGGTTGCTATCATTATAGCATTCAGGGTGTCACTAGCCCAAATTGTCAGGCATTTGGCAATTTATTGTATCACAATTGGGAAATTGTTTTCGTGGCCAGCATGATTTGAATTGGATAGGAATGGAAAATATACGAGTTTTTGTTGCCCCTTCTCAGAGTAGGTATGTGTTGTTTTATAGTGTAAATAACAAGTTTTGATATTGCAATCAAACTGACAGGGTAGCTGTTGTCATGACCATGGTAATAAAAATATTTCTATGGCTCGGCATTTATATTGGGCAATTTTTTATCATTCATCACAAAATTATACCTGCACCCTAGGTGGTTCCCTGCAGGGGGTCATAACCAGGGGGAAGCTGATGAAAATGAATTCTGGTATTGGTAGTTGATCACTATCATTTAATATATTTGTGAATAGAACATTTCTTAAAAAAAAGTATATTAATTTATTAAAAATATTTATATGGTCTCCCAATCTTGAATTCATACTTTATAACATTTGGATCACAAGGTTTATGACGTTTTCTTGGACAGAATCCAATTAATGCAACCTAAAACAGAGGGCAGGGCTTTTTTGAATTACTGTGTGGACAAGATTAACGAAGGGATTGCCAATTTGGCATATTGTACTACTCAATAAATTAAAATCATTAAATACTTTATGCTACAATTAGCTGTAATATTAAACTGTATAGTGTTGTGTTTCATATGACGTCATAAATTTGACGGGGGGTCAACTCTAAATCGAGACACAGTCATCAGAGTGAATTAATTTTTCACTGTATGTGTTGGCCTTGTGTTTGGTGGCAAATACATGCAATTTCATATCATTTACTCACTCCAGTACAGCATATAAGCATCAATACATTTTAGGTTGACCATGTGTCCATGTCAGAACGTGCAAAATGCCATAGTGAAACCCAAGAATTCATTATATGTATTAGGTGTATGCAGACTGGAATACAAGTTAATATATCACTACCTGTGAAATTGTGGTTTATTTAGAGAATAAAGGTTTTTTGAACTTTTCTATCAATAAATTATAACAGCAAAAGATTCACATGAACCCATATAGGGAAGGGTTACATGCTACAAGTTAAAATGAGTATTACATACTCCTGCACTTGAAAAGTTTACAGTACATATAACATTAAATAATAAAATATATAACAGTAAATCCTAAGATTGGATTTATTGAAACTAGTCATTAGCTAGTTCTTCGCAATTAAATATCACAAAGACAAATTAATAAAAGTTATTAACCATTTCTGACACAAATAGTATTTGCAAAATATAGCACATATTTGATATTTATATAGTCAAATAGTACAGTGTACTGACAGTACTGTATACTATGTATAGATTAAAACTACAGAAAACCTGTACAACACAAATATGAGTAATGTTTTCCCGCTCCATTTAACTGTTGTGATATTATGCGCATTAAGTATACGTTTCTTTGCATTTCCTTTGTAGTATTAGTATATAGCACAGCTCTGAAAAACCAAAACAATATTCGTACACTCCTAAACGGCCGCCATGTTGTATATAAAAATATACGTTAAAAATTAATTTTTGCAAAATTGCAACATTCCATCAGTATACCAGCAACCAATCATATTCATTTCTGACATGGATTATCCCAGAGCCTTCGTTTCCTTCCCAAGGATCGCAGGCTCGGGGAACGAGATTGGCCATATTGCCGGGGGTGCAATCATTGGGGCGAGCGCGCGGCCAAGCCATGGCTGCCATATATTTTACTAATGAGTGAGCGATAATTTTATGTGGACATTTTGTTGATTTTCTCATGCTATATTAAAATATGGTCGAAACTTTTGTATTTTGGCTGATCTGTGTGTATTTTCAAACTACTGGTAAAGATTTCAATGGAATCTGATTGGGGGAAACCCGTGAATATGCTGATTTCTTCGACACCTTTCGGCGAGCTGTTTACAGTGGATTCACGACAACGAAACGCCGAAAACAGGGCGTTTACGTTTCTGTTTGTTTAAACAAAACAACATTACAAAAGAGTCATGTTTAAAAACAATACAACAAAGCCGTCGGGAAAGAAGAAAGACGTCCAGGTGCGAGAATGTAACCTGATATCAATGTCAATCTCACCTTTACACTGACATAGATATAAGAGATAAACTTGTTTATATTTTATGTTCTCATAGCAGATTATATTGCAAATAGTCATTTTACTTTGGCTGTTTATGGCTACAAAGGAGAAGCTTGAATACGAAGATTTCGTTGGGTTGACAGAGTGGGAAAAAGGTTGAACTTGTAGCAAGAACATTTAAAGCGTATGAATTGGGTGCTCCAAAGAAATTTACACAGGAACAAATTTTTGATAGTATTAATTAAGAAGGAATACCAACAAAGGCAAAAAACTAATGATATTATTAAGAGCGATCCTAACAGTGCGATGAATATTGGAAAGATGACATTCAAACATGGCACATCTTGATGATGGAATGCTAGGCCCCTACATTCTATGAGTACATTCATTTTATTGCCAATATATTGGCAAATACAAAGATGAGAGGGCTTACTCATATTGGATGAGTGGATTTGTTGATATAATTCATGTTGCCAAATGCCCATTGACAAGACCATGACATTTTTTTGTAAAGCTCAGTATGTCGACCACAAAGGATTTGTGATGACTCACATATAAAAGTGTGGATGTGTGCCCTTGAACAGCTGGAACAGTTGAGGCATGTAATCATGTACTTGTAGTCGTCTATGTATAAGACCAACTATGCTTACAACAAATAATATATTTCCCCAGCCTGTGTGCCTGTATCAGTGTTCCCCAAGGATGGAACAAAGGAACATGAAAAGAAGTAAATCCAAGCAAGGTTAAAAATTTAATATTTAGACCGAACTCCTGGCTGCGATTAAACATTGAGGAAAGAATTTGATCCCAGAAAACCTGAGGACATAAATATTACCAATGAAAGAGTTTCTTTATGTACAGTTCCATGCATAGACAATATTTACATATTTTTCCTTATATTAATTTGGGCTAAAGACCTACTAGATACTTTGTCAGGCTTTTTGCTTTAGGCCCCTAGTAAAGCTTTATAGTTAACTGTTAGATTTATAATATATTATTTTACAGTCAAATCAGAGAGAGAAATTCAGAGTAATAGAGGAACAATAATATGCAAATAGAATAATATGCAAATAGAATGTTTTCATAAAAAAATGCTGTTTAATTTGTTTTTGAGATGTATTGAGAGTTTATGTTTTTATTTTTTATTCTAGTGAGTTCCATACATCAACTCCAATATTAGAGAGAATATGTTTTACATAATTTGTTCTTTTATACCACTTGTGAAGTTTTGATGAGTTTCTTGTGCTATTTTGATGAATTTGATTGATAGTCACAAAAATTTATCAAATACTTCAGGCAGGTTTTTAAGATTATTGAAGTTGGCTATGGGGGTGGTACTTCCTATGAGAACAACTGAAACTCTCAATATCTCTCAATATTATATACCCTTTGGATTCGCCTACTTTTAGAAGTTTATCTCTTATATCCAATTACTATTAAATAGAATGTCATATAATTAAAGGTGAGATTGACATTGGTATCAGGTTACATTCTCGCACCTGGACGTCTTTCTTCTTTCCCGACGGCTTTGTTGTATTGTTTTTAAACATGATTCTTTTGTAATGTTGTTTTGTTTAAACAAACAGAGACGTAAAAGCCCTGTTTTCGGTGTTTCGTTGTCGTGAATCCACTGTAAACAGCTCGCCGAAAGGTGTCGAAGAAATCGGCATATTCACGGATTTCCCCCAATCAGATTCCATTAAAATCTTTACCAGTAGTTTGAAAATACATACAGATCAGCCAAAATACAAAAGTTTGGACTATCTTTTAATATAGCATGAGAAAATCAACAAAATGTCCACACAAAATTATCGCTCACTCATTAGTAAAATATATGGCAGCCATGGCTTGGCCGCACGCTCGCCCCAATGTTTTGCACCCCCGGCAATATGGCGGAATAAACCTTGAAAGGGCCTATTAACAAAATTATTTCCTATGGTTTTGAATAACATTTTCCATGCGTATATGGAAAATCTTGAATTCCATAGTCCTTAGAATACAGGGGGAAATTGCCTCTTTTGTCCCCTCCCCCTCTCTGGGCAGCCCGGTACTTTAATCCTTTGTTATTTAGTCAAACGTGTTTGCCTGTTCGTTGCATTAAGGAAGCTCCCTACAGTTCAATATGTGTCGGTGTTTTAAACTAAAAGCTATTTTAATCTAAAAAGTTTTTTGAAACTAATTTTTGGCACAAGCCATTGTTTCCATTTATATATAAGAGTAATTTTAACCCACAATATCGCTACTCCTCATGTTACCATAACAACATGACGTCACCATCTATATGGCCTATATCAACAAAAAAAGCCGCCTTAGCGGACAAATAAGCACAGTGACCTACATTTTTAATTGCAGAAAGTACTTGCTATGAAGTTTTAAATTTTTTTGAAAGTTATTTGGAAATCCCCAGTGTAGTTTTCGAGAAACTGAATTTCAGCCTTTAAGATTGCAGTTAGTCTGTGGAAAGGCTGAAATTCAGTTTCTCGAAAACAGTGCACTGGCGATTTTCAAATAACTTTCAAAAAAGATTTCAGTAAAACTTTATAACAAACTATTTTCTGCAATAAAAAAGGTAGGTCACCGTGCTTATTTGTTCGCTAAGGCGGATTTTTTGGTTGATATAGGCCATATAGATGGCGACGTCATGTTGTCATGGTAACATGAGGAGTACCAATTGTCGGTTAAAATGACTTTTTTATAGAAGAGGAAGCAATTGCTTGTACAAAAAATTATTTTTTTTGGTTCAACTAGGTTTTAGTTTAAAACACTGATATATATTGGAAACTGTAGGGAACTTCCTTAACGAATTTTATGGTTTCTCATTGATGTTCCCCCTCGCCTCAAGCACGGATAAAGGCCATGATCGTTTCGCATGCACAAACATTATCATAATTTCATTGCTAACGCAATAATTTTTTATTTACTTCCAGGTGATATTCAGCCAGATGTGAACATAACAGTGCTACCATCCCAAGCTGTACTTTTGTTCACTCCACTCGATATTATCTGTGATGCAAATATCGCTCGATTTCCCTCGTCCCTCCCAGGCCCTCCTCAGCCACCAGTAAGAATCTTGATTTATGTTGGTATATACCTAGTGAAGGAGTGCGAGGATGGCGGTGTCAATCCAGTTTACCAATGTATTTATAATCTCACAAGTTTCATCCCTGGTCTACCGCGGAGATTTAGTTGTACTGCCTTCAATGCCGACGGACAATGCCGTTTCAATAGCGCCAATATTACAATCTTGCCACCACCACCAGGTTAGTCCTTCAAGTGTTTTGATTTAGTTAGAAAATGAAAATATAGCAGTCGACAAGTACAAAAAGAATGAAAAAAAGAGTTCGAAGAAAGAATGATAAAGGCTGCCAATACTTCTACGCTAGTATATAACGTAATAAATGCGCAAGAAAAACCATGACAATATTTTCATCCTCAGTAGCAACAGGAAATGAGGCGTTTCCAAGTAATATGAGAACGTTTATTTTATTCAAAACGGCATCAGTGTTAATTAAATACATATTTTAATAAATATTAAAAATCATTTTGTATAATAAAATATTTATAATGTACCCTTTAGTTGACCTATATGAAAAGATTTAATCAGTTTAACCAAATTTCATTGTTCTTTTTTTCAATTTTAGTATTCACAATTTTACGTGACATCTTTTAGGCATTTATAGACACATGCACGGAAATTGGAATCACAATTTTTTCAAAACAGCCGTGGTTTCTCAGGATATTTTCTATATATCTTATACTTGTTTTCAAATGAATGTGAGATCAGGTTTTATCGAAACAAGATTGCATTAAAATGACCACGATCGATTGGTATATAGTTGTAGCCGTTAGCTCTTTTTCTAGGGTGAGCGATAGTTAAATGAGGGTATTATGTCATAAAATATTTCGGGTGAACAATTGATAAAGGAGAATGCTGATGTGGTAGGCACTAATTCTAATAATTATAATTATTCGTGAGAACAAGAGTACATGTAGATTAGGGTTAGGACTGGTGTTAGTGTTTATTTCTGTTTCATTTTTTATTCTATCAACTTTATTGGACACAAAATTATAGAATACAAGTTGTGGGCCCGGTACGGCTAAACCAAACGGGAGACCCATGCAAGGCACTTCCCTTAAATAAAATTATGACTAGATTACAAAAAGAGAAATGACCATATACAGTAAATCTATACAGAATATGCAGTTTACGATGACATGAACAATCTCGTGTGACCAACTGCATGCATGGTATATTCACGTTAATTAAACGTATTCTTGATCAAGTTTGGGTTAGGTCAACTGTTAGACTGTGGACGTCCGGATCACAGGAAGTCCGGAAGGTATATCTTTTCAAGCCGTAATAAAGCAAAAAGACAATCGGGACACATTATGAAGTTCAGTTTATGAGATTTTTGTGACATTTTATGTTATTAATGGATGTCTATTTTGTAGTTGGTGTTTTAAATATACCAGTATTAAATTTCTACCTAAATAGACCATTGCAGGGCGTTGCTGCCTCGCCATTATCTTGAGGTATTTTTTCCTTTGTTCCTCCAAACATTTTGGTTTGTCTTCAGACTAAAATCTAGTACTGGTACGTAGATGAGAAGTCAAACGACGAAGATTTCAGTCGCTAAAGCAGTGACATCTTACTTGACATGAAATTCATATTTATAACAAAAAAGGAGCTTTATGTTACCTATTATGATGCCAATGCTTAATGGGTCTACCACCTCTGTACCATCATTTATCTATTGCTCATTCTAAATATTAGCGTGGTGAAGTATCGTCTGGCGCGTTTGGCTATGTATTTCACATAACTATGTACTGACCTCTTTTATGTATTAACTATTAGACTAAAATTACAGCTAAAAATAAATGTCGATTAGCTACTTGTGTGAAACAAACAGGGCAATCAAACCAAACACTTAAAGGTAGCGATATCAAACACTCTGGACATTTTATTCTGACCAAAACAATTTATTAAAACAAGTTTTCCAACAAGTAATTATCTAACACACGATCTCTCCTTTGAAAGTGCCAGAATTAACAGCTGGCATCTCGAATACTGTGAACCAGAGGCGCCGGAATATCGATAATTGGGGCAGGTATTCATATATTCGTGTTCACAGACTGTAAAATCAATCGATTTCAAAAGAAATTAATTGGGCAGAACACGAATATATGAATATCTGCCCCCCAATTATCGATATTCCGGCGCCTCTGCTGTGAACCTTTTAATATGAAAACCATTGTTATTGCATGGTTAGTACATCCATTAACTGTGGTTCGCATTAATGCACATTTTCTTTTCATTGACAACGGTAAAAATACTGCGGATTCAGGTTGAGTGTTTAATGACGTCACGATTATGTGAACGTTGAAACAGAAAAACACGGGGTGTTGTCAAGTGGCAAATTACTGAGAGAATGAGAGAATGTCTGTAAACAAACGGTTTTTAAAATGTGTGACGCAAAACAATATGGTTGATTATTTATTCCCGGAAAACCTTTATCCGAAGACTAAGGTTGTTAACAATAAGAAATATTATTATCAATGGATGTGATCCTGCAGCATGAGCTCCACCTTTGAATTTACTATATGAGTAAATTCTTAAACACGTCCGAATTTATCATTATGATAAATTCGCGGCAAATTTTGAATTTATCATAATAATAAATTCGCGGCACCTAACACTAACCCTAACCCCAACCCCAACCCTAACCACTAACCCCTAACCACTAACTCCCTAACCCCTAACCACTAACCCCTAACCCCTAATCCCCAACCTTCATTTTTTAACTTTTTAAATTTTTTAAACTTTTTTAAAAATCTAACTTTTTAAACTTTTCTTGCTTTTCAAAACTCTTTTAAAACGTTGTAAAACTTTTTTAAAAACTATTTTTTTAAAAGACATGAAAGGGGTTATTCGATTGTTACAATAATAATTGTATACAACCTGATATAAATTGATATAAATTGTCGATTCTGTTTCAATTTAGCTATAAGTGTATAAGCATTTTAAAATTAAACTAATTTTTAAACCTCTTCTTAAATAGTTCCAAGTACAACTAACCCTCCTGACGTAACAACTCCAAGTCCATCACTTTCAATTACTAACGGTAGGCAGGCTTCACTACTAAATATCAAATTCTATTTCAGTGAATTAGCAGTATTACTAATCATGATTAATTTTGGATATCCTTCTCTCGCATAATGTAGTTTCAACTTCAACAAATGCTCCACAATATACAACTACAGTTCCTATTACTAACGGTAGGCTTTTGACGTATTAACACTTTATAAATCAATTTAGTTTTATATCAAATTTCGCTAATTAATGATAAATTAACATGAATATTAATCTTTAAATTCTGACTAACTTTTCTTTAAGGTGCAGGCTTCAAAAATTTTAATAAATTAATTATGAAAATTAGGATATAGATAAAAAATATGAAGCAGTATTCAAAGGATTTGAAATTTTTCCCAAAGATTTGGTAAGTGCCATTGTTATGGCAACAGTGCTTTTTACCATGTGAAGGTGAAGGCTATTTCAGATACGGTAGAGCACTTAGTCCCCAGGCGCCAAGCTAAGGAGCGGAGTTTAATTTAATGGAGTTTATATTCTATATTTTTACTGTTGTTTTTTGACGTTTTTCTTCTTTTTGGTTGGTAGAACTTATATTGTGAAATGTCAGATATGTTACTCTTTATCTGAAAAAAGATATATTTTATATCAGAATTTGTCTCATAACATAATTTAACATAGTTTTAAAGTTGATGTATACTTATCTGTACGGACACTGAGAGAGTGATGGTTGTGACTGAGTTGTCCATTTAACAATGAAATCAATTTATACTATTTTATTCAAGTTGGCAAGCTACGAGCTTACAATTAAATAATTACTTGGCTTGATGAAGATGATATTATTTCATTTTATATTTGAGCAGGACAATTCATGCCAATTTCCGGGCGACCAAGCCTCCGCACGGCCGAACGAACAACGCCCACCCCCTCCCCCGCGCGCTCGTTTTGGGCTCGCTCGTTTTGGGCTCGGTCCATCATTCGTGAGATGAATTATTAAGTAATCCGAACACTTTGAAACTTTCACTGGCTTCCAAGTAAAGATTACTTTCGCATGAGTATTATATTGTTTTCCGGGGTTGCTACTGTATATTTGCAATATATAGTAAATGCACCAGTAAGAAGTGATAGCACGGGCAAGGAGCTATTTTATTGTGCTAGTTAACTATTTCCTTAATATTATTTTTAGCAACAACGGCTCCACCGACAGAAAAAGTGACGACTACATCGCCTCCACCTACACCAACTGGTAAGCGCTTGAAGATTTAAGGATTTTGAAACAAATGACATTTCTACAGTATAGCAATCTGATTGGTCAAATATTAACTTTTTATTAACCAAGCGCGAGGTCTTTACAGAGGAATATCGGACCAAGGTATTTTTTGTACACACCGAGCCCGTAGGGCGAGGTTTATACGAAAAGACCGAGATTCGATATTTCTCTGCAAAGACCGAGCAAGCCAGGTTAATAAAAGTTTATTATATGGCATTTATAGGCATATACTTGAAACAAACAAGAAAGTGCATTATTTGAAAATGCATATTAGTAGCGTGGTACACATTTGGTCGAAGAAAACAAAAATGGTCGATGTATTCCCTCATTTTCACTAAAACCATTCGCAGATATCTTATTAATAACAAATTAAATTATCATTTTCAAATTTTCAATTAGTTTTTCTGTTTTGTTTTGAAATGCATGCGTTTCAATTACGTGTAAATAATGGACCGTTGAAAGTGCTTCTCAGCCAATGACAGTCCGCCATTTCACCGGAAGTGATGCTTGCCATATAATAAAGTATGATTAATTCCCATCTGCCACTATTACGAGCATAAATCGAATATTTTCTTGAGCCCTAGTCCATGGAGTTCTCAAACAAAAACAAACCTTAAAGGATCAGGCAAAATAAGATGGCTCGTCTCTCGTAATTCCAATGTACACTTCAAATTGTCAGTTTCTATGTTTCGGAATTCAGGAAATCTCGTGTCGTGCAATTTTATAGCCTACATAATATATGTTAATATCAGTGGCGTACCCAGCCCGACTATGTAGTTCCGTTATGCAAATATTGCCATATTTATAAACTATATGAACACAATAAATTTCTAAAGAAATGAATAATGATGACGGTTGAAATTTGCATAGCGGGACTAAATCGTTGGGTTAATTGGCTACGCCAGTGTGATTAAAAGGTAAATCGTCAGCTAGTTTGATGCTTTTATCTTGTAGATGAGGGAGAAAGTACAACTCGCACACCAGGTAATAGTAAACGTTTTAGTTTCATTCGAAGCGGTCTTCCAAGTTCCAATTCCTCTTGAAACTTTATGTCAATATATATGGTTCAAATTAATAACATGTATTAATATAAATTAATTGAGAAGGTAATTAATTTATTAATATATCTAATTCCTCGAGCGTCGAAATTATAGGGAGTCATTTTTATTTAAAAACTTTTTGAATTTCAGTTGTGTTAACGACAGAAGCAGTCATCCCGCCAATACCAACGACAACATCTACAACCAAAAAAGGTAAGTGGGACAGAATTACTGTGGATACCGCACTGTATAACCGTAATAATATCGTAAAACTTGTTTCTCAACATCTTTTCACCGACCTACATTGTTTTTACTGATAGATGATGGCAGTGATGATAGTGATGATAGTGATGACAGTGATGAAGACAGTGACAGTGAGAGTGAAGATGATGATTAGAATCCACAAGCAATATACTTAGCAGTTTTATGTTTGCTACTAACTAGACTGACACACAAAACGTTTAATAGTAGTCAATTCTACCATTTCATTGTAGACACAGTATATCTAGTTTATATAATATTATATAATATTATGCCCTATAAAGATTATATTTTTATTACAGAATAAACCTAGGCAGAATGCTCTCCGGTCAGTTGTGGAAGATACAAAACTTTCATTACTTATCAATTCAATCTTATTATAACTATGATGTATTGTTACCTTGGTATTATTAGTTGTTTGTCTGTTTTCTGCACTTCTAGAAAAGTGCGAGATTTAGCTTAAAAATGTATAATTTTGCTGTATTTAGAATAGATTTTTCACAACCCATCGAGTCTTCGTTGCCTGAAATGCAAATTTAAAGTTGTCCCCGAGCCAACGGCGCTTAGCGCCGTTCCGGGCGTTAGCCCGGGGTGAGGGTACTAATACATCCCGGCTAAATGCCCCGACATGCATGGGCTTATGAAATATACGATTACGATTAACATTACTATAGCGCAAATTCACATGTGGACATGGTCAAATGCCCTTGACACCAAATATTATGCTTATCTGATAAGTTACTATCGCAAGGGATCAAAGGCAAGGGAGCATGCACAATTTGCTGAATAAGGGATTGTTTATATAATCTTGCTTAAGTTGGCTCCCTACAGTTTTGATTGTACAGCACACAATTCTATTAAAAAAAACATTATTTTATCATCTTGCAAAGAATATTATACAACATCTTGCAGAAAAGATCAAGGAACATTGGTCAGATGATAGTCAGAATTAGGAAGCAATAATTATCCATGCAGGAACCAATAACCTGGTCAACGAAATTTGATGGTAAATTATCCAACCAAAAAATTGAAGAAGCAAATAACCTATTACTCATCTTGTGCAAGAGGTATGAAGTAGCATTTTTAGATAACAGCGAGATAGATCAATTCCATCTCAATAGATCCAACCTCCATTTGAACAGAAATGGAGACAAGTTGTTGGGCAAGAAATTTTGCAGGAGCAGCAATTGTTTCAATGAGATTAATTCTATTCCTAATGAAAGAGGCTTTAAAATGGCCTTTTTAAATGTTGTTAGCTTGCCAAAACGATATGATGAAATTAGCTTTTCATTGTCAAACAAATTCATTGATTTAATCACATTTAAAGAAACAAGGCTTGATTCATCAATTTCATATAAATCAAATGTATATTGATGGTTATGATATTATCCGAAAAGATAGATCAAGAAGTGGAGGTGGTGTTTGCATGTATTTGCGTAGCTCCATTAATTATCGGATTAGACATGATCTAGTGCCTGAAAATCTTGAAACTGTTTGTATTGAAATCATTAAGCCTCAAAGTCAGCCGTTCGTCGTAGTAACAGCTTATTTTTTATTGATTTAGAAAGTCTCATTAAAAAAATAGATGATGAAAACAAAGAAATTCACATTCTTGGTGATTTAAACTGTGATCTACTTGAGACAAATCCTGACCAATTAACTAAAAAACTCAAATCCATATATGAACTTTATCAATTGTCACAAAAGATTGATGAAGCTACGCGCATATCATCGTCAACATCCACCCTTATTGATCATTTTATTACAAATAGACCAGAGAAAATTTCTGACTCTGGTGTAATACATACTGGAATAAGTGATCATAGCATGATTTTCGCAATAAGAAAAATAAAGTTTTCAGTAAAACGTCATGTAAGTATTGTTGAAATTGGAAACATGAAGAAATTCAATGATCTAAAATTTCTTAAGGATTTGCAAAATCAACCCTGGGATCATATTTATTATTTTCCAGATAATCCAAATATTATGTGGGAGATGTGGAAAAAGTCTTTTTAGAGGTATCTAAATAAGCATGCACCACTTCAAAACAAAACGATAAAATCAAAAAGTGTCCCTTGGATTACAAGCAAAATTAAAATGCTTATCACCGAAAGAGATAAATTGAAAAGAAAAGCAATTATCGCTAAACAAGAATCTGATTGGCTCATTTATAAAAAAGCCAGAAATCAAACAAATACCGAAGTAAGGAACAGACTATTATTCTAAAAAGATTGCTAACCAAAAGTGCAATCCAAAGCAGGCTTGGAAAACTATTAATAGTTTGATCGGAAAGGGAAAGAAACCCACGATAATAAATGAACTAATTATTAATGAATCTAAATTAACACATCCGAGATTGCAGAAGGGTTAAATGAATTATTTGCCAATGTTGGACCAAACTTGGCAAGCAAATTGCATGGATGAATGTAGCTGTGACTTTCAAAATTATACTAAAAGTTCTGAATCCGAGTTCACTGCATTTACACCAATTGCGGTAAACAAAATGTTTGATCTTTTAAGAGGGCTGTCTTGTAACAAAGCATGTGGTGTTGACAAAATTTCCAGTAAAATTCTTAAATTAGCTTCACCAGTTATTTCTGCTACACTTACATATATTTTTAATCAAAGTATTACTCATTGCAGCTTTCCAGATGAATGGAAAGTAGCTAGAGTTTTACTTCTTTATAAAAGTGGTCATCGTAATATTCCTGGTAATTACAGGCCAATATCGATACTACCAGTCATAAGCAAAATTATGGAAAGATTACTGAATGACCAGCTGTATGATTATTTAACTAAAAACGAAATTCTCTCTGATAACCAATTTGGCTTTCGAAAGTTTCACTCCACCGCTACGTCCCTTTTAGATTCAACAAATAGTTGGTATGTTAACATGGATCGAAAAATATTTAACTTAGTAGTTTTTATAGATCTAAGAAAAGCATTTGAAACCGTAGATCACGAAATTCTACTTGAGAAAATGCAAATTTACGGTATTAAAAATAAGGCGCATTTGTTGTTGAGATGATATCTTACTGATCGCACCCAAAAATGCCAAGTAAATGGTGTTGTCTCGTCTGAACACAAAGTTAAATGTGGTGTTCCTCAAGGCTCAATTTTAGGTCCTTTATTTTTCCTAATATACATAAATATTTATCTGAATGCCTATATAGGACAAAGCCAAGACTTTTTGCAGATGACACAAACCTCACTGCTTCCGCGGTGGTGCAATTAATGATGTTGAAAATGCAGTGAACTCTGATTTGGAAAACCTCAGAATGTGGTTAAACGCGAACAAACTAAGCCTGAACATTGCCAAAACTGAATTTATGCTCATTGGATCAAGATCCCTAGTGCATACTGTTTCAGATTCATATTTAAACATAATGATTGAAAACAGACCAGTTAAACAAGTGAAGGAATGCAAGACACTAGGAGTAATAGTTGATCAGCATCTCTCTTGGAAAAGTAACACCGAGAGTACCTGTAAGAAAATCACATCAGCCATTTCTGTTATTAGAAAACTAAAAGAATTTGTTGACCGTGATACACTTAGCTTGCTTCCATATTTAATGCAATTGTACAACCATACTTTCTCATGATATGATATAATGCTTAATGCACAACCATACTTTTATTCATGATATGATATAATGCTTAATGTTAAAGAATCACAGTCAACCAAGATGCATTGCGAGCTATGTGAATGTTTACAAATACGGGGAGCAAAAATAGTGTTGTCTTCGAAAATAGTCATACACTAAAAATAATATGCATTAGCTTTATTATAAACAAAAAAAACTTTAATACATTTACCCGCTGGCTTTAAACCTAATAAAACACTCCCCTGGCGAATGTCACGTCACTGAATGAGTGTCATGAAAAATACTTAAAATTGTATAGGTCGAAAACGTGATTCCAATGCGAGTTCACTCATTCGCATTAATTTGTGAGGAAGAGAAAATCGCCGACAAAATTGCTAGTGTGAACCAGGCTTAAAGTTGGTTTACACTCTATGTAATTAATAAAGTTGTGATTGCATTTGGGACCACCAGTCCATGGTATTAAAAAATGCCTTGACTGGAATTTTACTTATGTAAATTTTAAGTTTTGAAGGATTTGTAAAAAAATGTTTGAGAGAACTGACTCAGTGTTAATAAAACACTACTTTCATTGATAGTGTAAACCAGGCCTTAGCCCTCACTATTTCATCTTTACAACAATTGTGATATTAAATACTTTCTTAACTGTGTTTATCCTAGACCAACCCTGTCAACTTTCCACGTGTAAGGAAACCGGAGCACCCGGAGTTATAGAATATAGAATATATAATATAATAATACGCAAAAGCGTATTCCATCACAATTTTACAGTAAATTGACTTGGAGTACTTGGTATCACTTTATCAACTTTACTTTCCTCACCATTGTTTATTTCCAAATAAAACCTTTTTTGGTCACTCACACTTTTTTGAAAACATTCTATTCTGTCTATATTGTTTCACCCTCTGTTCATACCTCTTTACCTTCGCTATTTTCGCTAGTACCCTCTGCTTAAGCTCCTCAGTCACTGTTGGTAACCCCTTTGTTCTTATTTTATATTTTTCCTATTATTATTATTATTATTATTATTATTACTATTATTATTATTGTTATTATTATTATTATTATTAAAGAAAAAAAAAGAAAAAATTATTATTATTATTATTATTATTATTATACATACGTGAATTATGGTCAATAACAAGCACCAATAGGAACATTCAGTACGACATTTACTCAAACACAAAAGATGTATTGAAGGCATTTAGACAAAAAAACGAACAGCGACTACAAAATAACCTAGTTTCACAAGGTTCTTTTTTCTCAAACATCGTGAAAAACTCCACGTTGGCATTCAATTCCCTATGGTCATCGGTTCATTCAAAACTTCCTAAGAACATATTTAACTTCAGTCTACGTTACATCAACAATTCTTTGCCTACAGGAAAAACCTAGTTAAATGGGGACTGCCATCATCTGCTGACTGTTCGTTCTGCTTCTGCCCTGAATCGCTTTTGCACATAATCTCTGGTTGTAAGACATATCTAAACGAAGGGAGATATACATGGCGACATGATTCAGTTTTGAATCTCATTGCGTCCAGCCTTCTCGACGTCGGAAGGTCCAAAATGTATGTAGATCTGCCTGGATTTATTAGCCCATCTGTCATCACTGGTGACGAGTTACGACCAGACCTTCTATTGACAATTGAAAATAAGATTTTGTACATTCTAGAATTAACTGTTGGATTCGAAACAAACCTGAAAACTAACTCAGATCGAAAACATGAAAAATATTTGACTCTAATTACCGATCAAGAAAATATATATGATGAAGTTAAGTTTGTTAATGTATCTATAAGCTCTTTAGGTGTAATACGAATACTTTATTTGATATGCTCCATGATCTGAAGTACGACGAACAATGTATTAAATATGTAAAAAAGAAAATAATTGCTACTTGTATTCGCACGTCGTATTATATATTCTGTAGACGAAACAAAGACTCGAACAACCCAGAACTTTTAAACTTTTAACTAAATTTAAAAGATTTTCACCTGCATATATATTTTAGCTTTAAACTCAATTCAAGTGGACATCGATAAGCTACCTTTTATTAAGTGAGGTTTATCAATGTATATATAGTATATCGTAAATATCTAATAAAAAGTTTCCATTATTATTATAATATTAGAAAACATTACATTACATTACTACATTCTTAGAAATGTTAGGAAATGTTGGTCTGGACAAAAACTACCAAACGTACTGTGTTAGGAAAATGATGACTATTGCCATTCGAAGTACATACTATATTTTCTGCTGTCGAAATAAGGAATGGGAAAGTCCGGACTTGTTAACTATTTGAAATATCTGATTCTCTGGTATATTTATATATTTTCATGTACTCTGTCTTGTCATTTTTATTAGTTCATATAGTTGTGATTCAAATAGCCAATTGTAAGTTACCTTAAATTAGTGAGATTTACAATTGTATATATATAGTATATAACAAAATTATTAAAGTTTCCATTATTATTATTATTATTATTATTATTATTATTATTATTATTATTATTATTATTATTATTATTATTATTATTATTATTATTATTATTATTATTATTATTATTATTATAGTTATTATTATTATTATTATTATTATTAAAATTTAACTGTACATATCAACAAACATTTAGACACTTTTTTAATTATACCCAAAGAACAGATTATTTAATATAGTCATTGATAACAAAAGCATTATTGTATATAATGAAATGATGAATAAAGTTGTATTATTATTAATTAAAATTAATATTATTATTATTATTATTTTTAGACATGTTAGATAGTATTGGTCTTGACAAAAACCACCAAATGTACTGCGTTAGGAAAATGATGACTATTGCTATTAGAACTACATATTACATTTTTTGTTGCCGAAATAAGGAATGGGAAAATCCGGATTTACTAACAATTTGACTTATCTCATTGTATATATATATATATTGCATGCACTTTGTTCTGTTATTTTAGTTTAGTATAATTGTGATTCAAATAGCCAACCGTAAGACTTACCTTTATGAGAGAGATTTACGATTGTATATGTATGTAAAGAAAAACATTTGATAAAGTTTCCATTATTATATTATTATTATTATTATTATTATTATTATTATTATTATTATTATTATTATAGAAAGTAACTATGATAAGGTAAAATTTGTTAATGTATCCGTAAGCTCGCTAGGCGTTTTTGGTCAATCGACGAACACCTTAACTGATATACTCAAGGAACTGAAGTTCGATGAACAACAAATTAAATACATTAAAAAGAAAATCATTGCTATTTGTATTCGCACATCATATTATGTATTCTGTCAGCGAAACAAAGACTGGACTAGCTCAGAGCTTCTAAAATTTTGAACAATATTAAATTTCCTATTTTTGTAAATTTATATAACCCAAATATTTTTCAATAGTCATCGATAAACTACCTTTATGAGCGAGGTTTATCAATGTAAATATAGTTTTATGGTATATTATGAAATTAATAAAGTTTCCATTATTATAAACGAATATAGGTGTATTAAAGGAATTAAGTAGGAAATATGTTAGGTGCAAAAAAGGTTCTAACCCTCCCCCCCCTCCCAAATAAAAAATAACTGAAAATTGTTCTGCCACCACTGAATAGGACGAGGAAAAGCTGTGGATTTATTGTTTCTGTGATTCGTTCCTCAATTTTTTTCTAAATTTTCCCAATATTGTAAATGTAAACTTCAAAATGTTGAATCTTATTCACTTTTATTTTGGGGGGAGGACTAGACGGGGCTATACCTTAGATCCCTTCTTTCCGCTGCCTATGCACCTATTCATGTGATATATTAATTTAACTGCTCTAAATTACTGCCTAGAAATCAGGTTTTCATTTGAGAGCTACTTTCAGCTACAATCCAGGCCAAAATTCATGTGGACAACTAATCCAGCTAAAACTTGGCTTCAAACACTCATTAATAATTCATAAGCTTATTGGCAAATCATGTCAACCATAAAATGTCACGTGCATTGGCTTTAAACCATTGGCTTTAAACCTTCTTTATATAAAGAATACTAATAAGGCAGTATCTATTGTAGTCGTGTCCTCAATATTTTTTTTTATAAAGAATACTAATAAGGCAGTAAATCTATTGAATTTGTAGTCGTGTTTGAAGCCGTTTAGTAAACTCGCAGGTCGTGTTTTATTAGGTCTAAAGCCACTCACGCTGCGCGCTCGTGGCTTTAAACCTAATAAAACAATCCTGCTCGTTTATTAAACAGCACTTTACACGCATATCCGCCCCTCTTCAATGTTACATATCCGCATTATATAGAATTCGTATTTTTTATAAAAAAATCCTTTCCACATTGACTTGCGGGAGCGGGGGATATTTATTTAGAGAAACGCCATTCAAGGGCAATGTTTGTGGGTTTGTCCCCAAAGTGTTGGATAGTAGCTCATCTTAACTCAACACTGCGTAGACTACGTGTACTGCAACCAGGTATATCAATCATGTTTCGCTCGCTACTCGGGTTTAAATAAATGATTTCAAAGCCCAGTCGAATTGTAATCAAGACCCAACGTTTCGACATTCCAGTCTAGTGTCTTCATCAGGGGTGATCTAAAACTGCGATCGTGGCTTCTTAAATACCCAAGGGATGACGTCACCTGCCAAGAAGATGCATATAATCCTCTGGCAAATAGGCACCGTCATCCCTATTCAAAGCATGATGACTCATATTTATATGCCACGCATACCTTGGGTATTTAAGAAGCCACGATCGCAGTTTTAGATCACCCCTGATGAAGACACTAGACTGGAGTGTCGAAACGTTGGGTCTTGATTACAATTCGACTGGGATTTGTAGTCATTTATTTAAACCAGAGTAGCGAGCGAAACACGAATAATAAAATTTCTAAAATTTTTCAGGATATAGTCAGCAAAGTTTTAATTTGATATATTGGTGAAATTTTGAGATGCAGGAAAGGCTAAAGCTCTTAGAAATATATTATATGACTCATGTAGGCATGACTATAGATATAACATAAAAGTATTATTTATTAAAAACTCGGTCATGAATAGGCCGTTTGTGGCTGGTCTAGAAATATTGGCATAACAATATCTGGAGGGCAAAATAAATGCTTTGTCTGACTTCTTTGTCTACAAATGCCACAGCTGTCCATCATCTCCAGTCACTTGTTCTCAATTATTTTTAGCCAACTGCAAAGTGCCTATATCCCAGAAGAGTTTTTGCAGCGTGTACAATGCAAATATTTCGGAAATTCCTGTCAAAATATTTGTACTTTATGACAGCGCACTCATTTGCATGTAATTAAGCACCTTATCCAAGTGGGTATGTTAACAATCGAGCAAGAAACTGGAGTTTCACAAACACACATCCTTTTGCTAAACATTCTTTTGAACTTGTACAGTTCCTTTTCTAAAATTCAACGTAGCTCTTCAGTTTAGGAGATTTCCGATTCAGAGCTGTTAACGAAAAGATCATTTAGGTTGCAACGTTTCACATCTGGAGCTTTGTAATATTTGGCAGAGTAAAAGTTAAAAATTTCTGCACTCTGGTAACGAGTTTAACGTATATGAGAGCTGATTGGTCACGTGATACTAAAAAATTTTCGTGGTGAGAGCATTAAGGACAAGTGTCCTTTTGGGAGTCAGTTGGAACTTGAAAGGTGAAAACAAAAGTCAGAATTTTTACCAGAATTTGCGACTTAATTGAAAGTCGCCAGGATAAGAGAAGATTCAACATTAACGGAAAAAATACTGCCAAAGATTAATAACGAGGTACGACACACGTCAACTACTAACATATTTATTAGAAGTTATATCTACACGAATGTGTCTGCCTGTTTGATATCAGGTAGCGGAAGCAGTTGATGTAATTTTTACCTTAATTTAAAAAGCTTGCCATGATACTTCTTGGACGAAACGGGCTGTAGTGTATATATTATCTAGCTACGCTACATACAACCCATGATTTTCCCATTTATATATAATATATATATATATATATATATATATATATATATATATATATATATATATATATATATATATATGTATGCATGTGTGTGTGTGTATGCGCGTGTGTGTATACTCATCAACCAAGGCTTTGTGATAAATATAAAACTGGCTATGTAAAAAAACAATTACCTCAGAGTCAGATGGTCCCTTGTCTTGCTCTATGCATATCAACAAACGCTCTGGTAGATGAATGAGCATTAAAAACACCATCTTCTTGTCCGGATAAGGATGAAAATAATCATGCCAATGAGCGTTTGTATTGCCATAAAACTCCTTCAGAAACTTGTCTTTGCTCATCTTTCTTTTGAGCTTCAGAAGGAGGTCGTTCAAAAAATTCACAAAGGACTCACTTGGTTCCAGCTTAAAACTTCTGCAGCTTGCTCTGGCTTGTGAAGCTTCTCGTCCGTTAAATAGCGACCAATATCTCGGATGATATCCCTGGTTTTATTCGTCGTAATTACGACGTCTCTGGTAGAAGACGAAGTTGAACTTTCCCCTAATTCGGCCATGTGTTTGCTTCGCTGCTGTTTTGGTTCGACCACCCTTCGACTTGCAAATTTTCTCGCAAATTGCTTGTTTCCGTCGACCTAGAGATGAAGATTAAAGTTTGATTATAAGTTCGCTTATTGAAAAGACATGGCTTACTTTGTTTTTGATATTTTAACTCACCTCTTCATGAGAATTTTCAACCTCGATCATCACTTCCTCGACGTCCATATCGAGCATAGCAAGAGTTTGCTCAAAATCGTCTTCAAAAACCGAATGAAAAGCCCCACTATCTTCACAAAACGGCAAAGAACCCTCCTCGTCCATATCCTCGTGCTCAATAACGCTTGACTCCATAGACTTCGTATGTAACGAGTAAATAACAATTTCTGACAAAAATCCCTCTATTTTCTATAAGTTTCTACTATGAATTGCAGCTCGAATGCACTATAAGCTGTCACGTGACGTATTTTGTAACATGTTATCCCATTTAATCACGTGTTGCTTTGAAGTTTGCCGGCCTTCCAAACCCGGTCAGTATATATTAACTATGGTCGTAGTAACAGCTTATGGACCTCCAAATCCGTCATCCGAATTTTTTATTGATTTAGAAAGTCTTATTAAAAAAATAGATGATGAAAACAAAGAAATTCACTTTCTTGGAGATTTAAACTGTGACTTACTTAAGACAAATCCAGACCAATTAACTAAAAAACTCAAATCCATATATGAACTTTATCAATTGTCACAAATGATTGATGAAGCTACGCGCATAACATCGTCAACGTCCACCCTTATTGATAATTTTATTACAAATAGACCAGATCTAAAGAAAATTTCTGACTCTGGGTAATACATACTGGAATTAGTGATCATAGCATGATTTTCGCAATAAGAAAAATAAAGTTTTCAGTAAAACGTCATGTAAATATTGTTGAAATTAGAAACATGAAGAAATTCAATTATCTAAAATTTCTTAAGGATTTGCAAAATCAACCCTGGGATCATATTTATTATTTTCCAGATAATCCAAATGCTATGTGGGAGCAGTGGCGCCGGCAAGGGGGGGCGAGGGGGGGCAGCCGCCCCCCCCCCCAATATTCTCCAGAGTGGGTTTTTGGATTTGTCCAAATCCGATGTCGTGGGG